ACCCCTCCTGCCTCTACCACCATTTCCGGCGAGGTCCAGTTCTCTGAAAACCTCGCGAAAAAAAATTCCCTCCCTACTTGTCCCTCCGCCGTCTCCACTCCGGGAGGGACCCAATACCTCTGGTCTGTTAGGCATTGCACGTCTTTCGTGGAATAAAAAATCAAACGATGCTCGCTGCCATCATGGTCTGGTGACTCGATGTACGATACCATCTCCGGCTCAGCATCTTGGTCAGCCGTAGGTGTTTGGGTAGGAGGTAGGGAGGTTTTCAATCTAAGAGTGGTCTCACCCTCCCTTTCATCAATATACTACCTCACAGGGAAACGCGCCCAACTGTCTGTACTGAGGAGAACCTCGTGGCTCATCACCCCCTCTGGTACTACATACGCGTTCACTGCAAGCTTTGCTGTGGGTTGGGACGCACGATCGAAAAAACTGTTCATTGAGTCGCACCATGCTATTCGTTGCCAATGGTGTGCCTCCAAACCCACTCCATCTACGTGTTTTGGCAGTGCGGATGCCTGATTTCGAGGCTGCCCCGCATTCAAGCATACGCATGACTACCTTCTCGGCCACAAATGATTGGGGTGACCCGGTGTCAACTAACGCCACTGCTGGCTGCGTTACTCGGGCATGTGCCCCTGCAAACACACTCACCTTGGCGGTCTGACTGCTAGCACTCAAACATACCTCCCCTGCCTTGAAGTCAATGACTTCCTTCAGAAAACTACTCGGTATCTCCCTCCCCAAAGTATCGTGTGCGCCTCTGCCCGCCCGCTGTTTGTTCCACACGCTCAGGCTCGGAGCAACTCCATCCTTCACACTCATGACATCTACCCCCTTCCGTCCGCGTACCCTGCCCTATGGCTCTTGTTTATGGTCTTTCTCCTTTCCGTGTGCCCCCCCTCTACTAAATTAATCTGGGTCAGAGGGGCCCTTGATGGAGGCGACGGAAGCTGTTCCGCTCCTACACCGCTCTCTGGGATAGCTGTCGAAGTGTCTACTACTTCCTTTCTACTCTGTGTGCACTGTGCCGCTGCGGCCGGTACTCCTGCAACCGCCGCGACTGACTGCTGTGTAGCTGCTGCTGTGTCAACAGCTGCTGTTGAGGTGCCGGTTGCCTCTGACAAATTTCGATGGGCAGGGACTATACCATGCGTTGGGGAAGGGCCGATCTGATCGACTGCCCCCCCCCTCCCCGCTATTCGGAAGCGGTCTAATTGTATCTGTGGGCTCGGCCTCAATTCCTACCTGGACTACGGTGTTCTGGGTACTCCACTCGCGCTTGCGGGGAAGCGGGCGTGTCCTTTGCCCCTTACTATTTCTCTTCCGTTCTGTTTCTCTCTGAGATGAGTTGGGTTTTGGTGTCGGGTCATGACTCCCGATCTCTACCCCGCTCTTTTTCTGGTTATCGCTCTGGACGGATACTCGCTGCACCTCCAGGATTTGCTCCACATGTAGATTCTCTCTACTGCTTCTACTCTCTCTGCTGCTTCTGTTCCTATTTTGTACACGATTATCGGTTGGTGTTGCGGATGTCGACGGCCCCCTGTCACGGGGGCTGCCTCTCTTACCCATTACCGGCACCGATGCTGCCGCCGCCGGGAGGCTGTAGCCCCCGGCGACGAGGTACTAATGGCTCGAAGAACTAGTTTTTTTCGGCCTCGGGGATGCGGTACACCTGTTCCTCCTCTGTGAGAACAGGCGCAGTAGCAGCATTCGATAAAGCTGCAAGGAGATCCGGCGCGTAGGTGACGGCGCCCGGAGAAGCCGACGAGCCAGGCATTGCCCCAGCAGAGGCAGAGGGAGGAGCGAGAGAGAGGCGGGCGGGAGGAGGGACTACAAGAGCAGGCTGCACGCTACCAGCTAGGCGCGGGCTACGGCGTACAGAAATACCCTTAGACGCGTCTTTCTCTTCAGGGACCCCGATATCACGGTTACGGTCCGACATGACCAACTCAAACAAACTCGGCAGCTTCGCCAACTGTGATATAAGCTTTTAGCGGGGTTGGTATTCTAATGTGGGGCACTGCGAACCATTCACAAGTGAGGTGTGGTTCTACTCGCAAGGGTGGTTCTGCTAAATAGTACTTCGGGTCCAAAGGATGTTTGGCCAATACTGTCAATGCTCGTGGTGTGGTCACGGGTCTGTGATGTGCACAAGAGGTAGAGTCGAATGTGGTCTCTTTTAGTCAGCCTGAAGGTGAACTCCTGATCAGCAAAAACACCTACTGTAACTCGACCGCTTATCAATCCAATCTCACGAGGCTTTCCAACGCTATGCTAAGGCGTCACACTCAACACAACGCTATGGGGACGGCACTCACGCTCACCTAAATAAACCCTAGTCGGAGCTATGCCAAGCGGCTTCTGATCAAAGGGGGTGGCTGCAGGAGAACTGAAAGCCAGAATAATCCAAATATTTTGGGAACTCCGGGGAAACGGGGATCACTTCAACCATACGGTGACAATCTGCGGAGCTTCCTACAGTGCCGATCGGGTCAAGCACTGCCGCGCTACAGCACAGCTCCCACCCACACCCCTGATATGGGCCATCTTTGCCCTTGCTGGGGTCCTGCTGCTAAGCATGGGACGGGCGAGAGTAGACCCACAGCGGGCCCAGAAGGCTGTCGATCCAGTACGCAGCGGTGAGATGTCGTGAAGGGTTGCTGCGGACACCTACGGGTTGAACCCGACCTCGCTCCACCGCCGTGTGAAGAAGGAGGTGGCCATAGATGCGAGGGTTGGTCCCGGGACTGTCCTGTGCAAGGAAGAGGAAGATTTCGTAGAAGATGTGTTGATCTACACCTCCCGACACTTCTTGCTGTTGGGTCGGAGGGAGCTGAAAGTAGCTGTGCGGAAGATCTGCATCGACGGACGCAAGGTGCCCTGGGACCCAGACAAGGGCCCGGGGGACAGCTGGCTTAAGGGATTCATGGCGAGGCACCCGGGGTTGTCGGAGCGAGGCACCCGGGGTTGTCGGAGCGAGCCACCCACATATACGAAGCAAACCGGATCAACGAAGACGACGAGCCTCGCCTTGAAGCCTTCTACGACACATGGCAAGCGTACCTCGCGGATGAGACCAAGCTCACGCCGGACCGCATCATCAACACGGAAGAGGCAAGTGAGTTAGGGCAAGGGCTGAGATGTCAGTGGTGTCAGTATCGACTGCTGTGGGTCCGTAGGCGAAGTACCAGCAGCACTGCGATGTGTGATGTGTGTCACAACAAAGCGGAGTTCTGCCGCTGCTGCTGCTGCTGCAAAAAAAAACAGCAGTTGGTCCGCATGTCTTTCCGAGACCGCTGCTGCTTGCCATGCTTGTAGCACACAACGCGCATATGATGCTGGATCCGCTTGAGGGTTCAGTATGCAACAATCCCTGTGGTCATCTCATATTTACTTTAGCACAGCAATGGTAGGGCTCATGTACGATATTCTACACGGTGTTTTTGTTGTGTGCCACACGCGACAGCGGGCGTGTGCTGTGTTGGTCCTCATGCACGTGTGTTGCCAATGCTGTGCGAAGTGCAGTCAAGTCGAGACTTCAGTAGGACGCTTTGCTTTTGTAAACCCACCTTGGTTTCGAGCTCAATGTAAACTTTCATGGGTGTGGGGTTGTTGATTCACACCCAAAGTCTGTTGAAGAAAAAAAACGGTCCCGTCACCACCGCTGTGTGCCACCGCCCGGTGCGAGCTGCGCTCATGTGGGTGTGTACGCGCGCTTTTCTGTGTGTGCGAGCGCTGCTGCTGCGAAAGTATGCGTACTTTACTGATTGTTCGACTGCCTCCGCCCCCGATGAACGCGCGTTCTCCGGTGTGTGTTGTAGGTTCCACCCCGCAACGTACAAAGTCGGAGAAGGCTATCGTGCCAGGAGGCACCAAGGTGCCCGGCGCGAGGCGCACCAACTCGCGAGAAAATACGACGGTGGTCGCCAGCATCGGCGCCGACGGCCACAACTACAACCCTTTCATCATCTACAAAGGCCAACGTATGCAACCCGCTTGGATCCAGGACAAGAACGGCGTCCCCGATGCGAAGTACACCGACACGGAGTCATCCTTCATCCAGAGCCACGTGTTCCTCGGCTACCTTCGAGACCTCCGCGAACAGCTCGATTCACGCGGCTTGCAGGGCAAAGTTGCCCTTGTGCTCGACGGCCACGCCTCGCACACGACCTTCGACGCCATCAGCTTGGCCATCTCTCTGGACATCAACCTTTTCCAGCTCCCGTTCCACACACCGCACATCACCCAGCCCTTGGACGTTGGTACGTTCGGAACCTTCAAGAAGGAGCTCACCAGGGTTCTCACGGGCTACCCACTGACAATCGGGGGGAGGAGTCCGGTGAAGCGCGACATGGCTGGCGTGATTGCGGAGGCATGGAGAGTGTTCGAGTAATTGCAGTACAAGAACGACTCTATTCTTCTGCATGGGTTTATGCAGCATCGTGAAGGCGTTGCCAAGTCTGTAGCCGTCAGGTGAAGACAGCTTGGGCGTCTGTGTGGATAATTATATCACTCTATGTGTTTGCCTACCTAACCTCGCATCACATGCTAGCTACTTTGTAGCCACAGCTGAAGGAATAGCTGTACAGCGACTGCAGTGACAGTGCTGTTGCTTGAACAGGTTTTGCCTCGAGTTGCTCGAGCTTGTACACCAGAGTCACCAGAGTCGGTAAGCATGGCTTCCGGCTCGTCAGGCAAGATCCGAAGAGGATTCGCCAAGTTCAGTGGTGACCCAGGCGACTACGTCGGCTGGCGAACCCTGCAGACCTCCTTGGTTATGGAGGACAAGCTGCACAAGGTTCTGTTGGGAGTGGAGAAAGCCCCTTCGGATCTCGGACCTAGTGCTACGCCGGACCAGACTTCGGCATACCAATCTGCCCTGGAAGGATACCAGGGCAAAAACGGACAGATCTTTGCACGGCTGATGCTCGCCACATCTGAAACCGGGGGCTACCAGAGCGCGGCCTCGCAGACTGTGCAGGCATACGCGCCTATCGGGTCTTCCTACAACGGAGACGGTCGTGGAGCCTTCCTCGCCCTGGAACGAAAGTACCAGGCCACTGGGGTATACTGTACGCAGGAGCTGCACGAGAAGTTCATATCTTTGGCACTTACCGCGGACCACCACTTTGACCCGGCCAATGTTATTCAAGATATGCGCCGGATCTGCACGAAGCTCGCCGTGTATAACGACACTGTGGCTGACCACCGAAAGACGTTCGCTTTCCTAAAAGCACTGCCGGACGACCACTACAAAGAGTTCAAGACGGGACTACTGTGCGGCCAAGCTGCTGGGAGCGTCTTGTCCTTCGAGGAGGTCGCCGACCGAGCCACTTCGTTCCACGCGATGCACATTCGTGGTAAAATTGCGTCGAAGAACGCGTCCGGAAGCAGCAGCTGAATACCGTCACACACGACGGAGCGCGTTCTTTCCGTAAGGGCGGCGGTCATCATGGTCGTGGACGCGCGCAGCGCGGTGGACGAGGACGTGGCAGCTGGAACAACTCGTCGAACCGTAACAACGGGACCACGACGGGGAACAACAGCAACGACCAGAATCATGGCGGCGCGACTTCTGGCGACGGAGCTGGTGCGTCTTCCGACAACCGGTCCTCTGGACGGCCGAACCACACGCAGCAAAAACGCGGGTACGACAGGGACGGCCTATGCAGTTACCGTCACAATTCTGCGGAACACACCTGGACGAACTGCCCGCTTCGCGCCTCCAATGCCACGCGGTTTTCGAACCGTGAACAACAGCAACCGCAGCTATTCGATATACTCGTAGCATTGCATGGGGGTGGTATGTAGTCTACATATGCGGGATTTGCAGTGACGAACTACGGAGGAACAAGAAGTTTCTTTATGTATTCCTTGTGAGTGTGGTAGATTGGTGGACATTCATGGAGATTCGTTTTGGGTGTTAGAGCGTTATGCGTGACTTGATGCCGTGATGGAATGAGGAGCTCAAGCACGCCCCCGATGAATACAACACGTTTGTCAACACGTTTTACAACACGTTTTTCAACACGTCTGCACGTCTTTACCTACCCCTACGGCCTCTCCCTTCTTCCCCTCGCTCCTCGACAAGCGTTTGCTTAGACATGGGTTGTAG